GTTACATAATAAAATCAGTTCATTTTATTTATACCTACTGGTATTTTAGAAGATTAGCATTTTTTATGACCAAAATCACAAAGGAATACTTTCAGCCCTTTTTTTTTTTTTTTAACATATTTCTGATAGGTGATATTTATCTATTTTGTTTAACTTTTACTGTCATACGACATTGCTGGGGGCAGGGTTAAAATGAAATGGCCCCTCTGTCCATCATTGGAAGAAGAGGTTTTTGTTCTGAATCTAGAAGTTTCAGAACCTCCATGACTGCCGGACTGTGAGGATATTAACTTCCTTGTGGTTGAAACGGATTAAAGAGTCTTAGTGAAGGAAAATCAGAAAAGCATATGGAAGGTTCTCTTTCTTCTCTCCTATTTCCAAGCTTCATTGTTTGTGAAGGAAGGAGAACTAGACAGGTAGGGAAGAAATTTTCGGCATTCTGGAAAGGGATTTTCTTTTTTTTCACCTCCCAACATGCCCAGAAGAAAGAATAAAGACTTTAAGGTAAGGGTAAGCAGACCCACATTTATTGAGTGTGTCTATTTTACTAAGTACTTCATGTATGTTAGGAGGCAGAGTTTTCTCAGCAGACAGGTGCTATCCATGGTGTCTGCCTTCAGACTTAAGGGTCAGAGACGCTAAAGCACCTGCCTTCCCACAGGCAGCAGTGTGGAAGGTGGAAAAACTTGGAGGGAGGCCCACGAGCAGGCAGGAGATGGGTTCAAAGACTAATTAGTAATAGTCCAGGTAATGGTGATATGGCCTTGTCTAAGGAAACACTGTAAAGAGATGGAGAAGAAGAGACCAGGTGTGAAAGATGCGAGTTGAAGGCTGGATGATGTGGGAGGTCAGAGAGCAAGCAGAGTCTCAGGTCTGGGTCTTGGGAGTGGCCGGTATGATAAGGAACTCAGAAGGATAGGCAGGCCTGGGAGGAAATTAGCTTTGGAGTTGTGTTGGGTCCAACAGGAATGGCTCAGTAGGCAGCTTAGCACAGTGGCTGGAACTTAATAGGGTTCAGTACAGTTGAATCCATAAAACTTTTTTTTCTTTTTTTATGGTTGTATGACAATTTTTAAAAGATCAAGGTCTCATTTTTTTAGCAAGATTTTCTCTTAAAATAATATTGAGCAGTAGAAAAAGTAATGTTCATACAGAAAGAATTTGTACCATCATTTTTCTTTTTGCATATGTGTGTTTAAATACTGAATATGGGTTACAAGTGAGCTTGACAAATAGAAATCTTATTATTTTTGTACTTAACGTGATTTTCAGGGTTGGACTGAGCATGTAATGGCTCCCTTTAATTTATGGATTACCTGTTATGGGGGTGTAAAGGGTGTAATTAAAGCAGTATTGTTATAGAGTATGGCCTCTCAAATGAGTTTTATTTGTTCTGTAACCCTGAGCATGATTCCTTAGCCTCTAAGCCTTAGTTTCCTTATGTTTAACATTAAAACTACCTCCCAGGGTTGGTGAAAGGGTTCAATGAAGTAATCTCTGTTAAGTTGCTTAGAACAATGCTTGGCATATAGTGAGTGCTCAGTCATTTTCTTCTGTGCCTCACGGAGGACCACGTAAGTTCTCCCAGGGAACCATATAGAGAATATGCTTACATAAAGTAAGGCAAAGTAATACTTTATTAAATAATTAGCTGTGTAGAGTGCTAGTGAGTTAAGCTGGATCTCATAACTAACTTTAGTTACTGAAAAGCAGAGGCTGAAACGCCTGCTCTGTGCATTTTCCCCATACCCAAACAAGTCTCAGATCTCAGCTTGTTGATGTGAGGTAAGGGACAGAGGGAGACACAAGAATGAAAAGGGGAGAGCTTTTGCCCGAGGGCCTGGAGTGATCTGGACTAGGCCTTCTTAGTTCAGGCTCTTCACCCCACCCCAGGCACTGCATGGGAGGGAGAGAAAGATGGGGACCCTTCATCCTGGGGGCATGCAAAACCATACCCTTCCCCTGAGCTCCTGGGAGACTTACTCCAAAGGACATGGAGAGACCTGGCTAGGACTCTGTCACATTGGGAGCAGTGTGTATCACTTCTGTTTGAAATGTGGCCAGTTACAGTCAGCTCCTCCTCCCTTGCTTGTCCCCCTTGGACAGGAAGATCTGTGGAGAGCACTAAACTCACCCTCATGACCAGCTCCCATCTGATCTCTCTAGTCAGAACTTGTGTTATACACAGAATTTGCATTCTGTGTTTAATTTTCCAAATCACAGCAACCATGTTCCAGGGAATGGATTGCTGGAAGATGAGGGGGGTCCATATTCTTCCTGCAGGCACTACTGAGGCTGCTAGAAGGAGCTCCTGGAGAACCAAGGTCTTTGACCATTTCTTCATTGCTGTATGATCCCTGATGCCTAGAGGAGTCAAGCAGACATTAAATGCTCGCTTAGTGTTTATCAAGTGAAAGGTACTAAATGGTCTAGTTGAGCCAACTAATTTTATAATAAGGAGGTAATGATTAAAAAGCTCAGAAATTCTAGACCATTCAACAGAGATCTAGAAGTCTTTTTTGTTGTTGTTGTGCTTCAGGTGAAAGTTTACAGAGCAAATTACTTCCTCGTTCAAAAATTTATACACAAATCATTTGGTTACATGGGTTGCAGTCGTGCATTGTGTCAGCAACTCCCCTTTCTCTTTCCATCCTGAGTTACCTGGTTCCATTAGTTCAGTTTTCTTGTCCCTTCCCGCCTTCTCGTCTTTGTTTTTGGGCAGGTGCTGCCCATTTGATCTTGTGTACTTGATTGATCTAAGAAGCACATTCCTCACGTGTGTTATTGTTTTATAGGCCTGCCTAATCTCTGGCTGAAAGGTGAACTTTGTGAGTGGCTTCAATTCTGAGTTAGAAGGGTGTTCGAGGGCCATAGTCTCTGTCAGACCAGTAAGTCTGGTCTTTTTTTGTGAATTTGATGATTTGTTCTACATTCTTCTCCCACTCTGGGACCCTCTATTGTAATCCCAGTCAGAGTGGTCGGTAGTGGCAGCCAGGCACCATCTGTTCTTCTGGTCTCAGGGTCGGGTAGGCTGTGGTTCATGTGGTACATTAGTCCTTTGGACTAATGGCTTCCTTCAATGTTTAGTTTTGTTTCTGTTTGTTTTTTTTTCCACTCTCCTTTCTTCCGGACTAGAAGAGACCGAGAGTTGTATCTTAGATGGCTGCTTACAAGCTTTTAAGACCCCAGACACTAGTCACCAAAGTAGACTGTAGAACATTGTCTAGAAGTCTTTTATATCCTGCATACCTCCTGCAGCACTGGCCAGGGGGCATGTCTACTTTATAGAACCTGCCCTTTGCAAAAATCAAGACCTGCACTTCTCTACCCCTTCATTTCTCTTTCGAGAAAGGTACAGCAAGTATGGTGCCAACAGCATGTGGGTAGGAATCATATAAACCACTAGACTTGATGACCTTGGGTACTCTACTTTCTCAGCCCCAGTTTCTTCCTTTGCACAAAGAGGACGATTATTACCTCCACAGAGGGTGTCAGGAGACTAGACAATCCACATGTGATGGCTTAACACTAAGCCTGGCACACTGCAGGTTTCAAAGTTGTTTCCCTTTCCTTCCTCTCATCTAGGGTCTCAAAGTAGCAAAAGCACTTGACCTACAAAAGCCCCTTTCCTGCTCCAGAAGCCTGCCTCAGATTTATTTTTCATCCCCCTAAAATGAAATGCTTTATGTGAATGAATGTGGGAATCTGAGGACCATCAGAATTGAGTGATCTGTGTTAATGCCCCATGATCGCACCCCCTAATTGCAGCCACACCCTTTCATACCTACTGTGGGGAAAGGACAGGGTTTGTGATTTTTTTTTCAATCTCCCAAACTCTGCCCCACCCACACCCAACACATACACGTACACACGTGTTCCTAGAAATACACAAAGACTAGGAAGGAATGTGCAGTTCTTGGGACTATAATCTCCTGGATCTACTTGAAAATTAAATAGATCTTTATCTATATTAGGGGGTCAGTGGTAGTTCAATGTAGAGTTCTCACCTTCCATGTAGGAGACCTGGGTTCGATTCCCAACCAGTGCAGCTCAGCTCAGGTGCAGCCACCACCCACCTGTCAGTGGAGACTTGCATGTTGCTATGATCCTGAACAGTTTTCAGAGGCGTTTCCAGACTAAGATTGGGAAGAAAGGCCTAGCGATCTACTTCTGAAAATCAGCCAATGAAAACCTTATGGATCTCAGTGGTTTGATCCTGTTTTACATAGGGTAGCCAGGAGTAGGAGACCAACTCAATGACAGCTAACAGCTACAAAAATCTATATTAAACTAGACCTGATCTGAGGTTAGAAATACAGAAATGGAGTTGTAAATACAGGTCAAGCAATGCTGTTATTTTCCATGTAGGGGTGAAATGTTCTTTGATCAGTCGGTGTTCTTGCTGGATTTCACTGTCCTATTTGTGGGAGGGACACAAAGTGTGATTGACTTAGTGAGAGGCTAAGGCTTCCTCTCAGGCTCCTTGGCAAGTGGCCTGATAGCTGTATACCCACAGGAGCCACCGATAGATCGTCCTGTGTGTGTTGAGTCTTTGAGTGGTGAGACGAGTGTTCCAAGTAACATGGCATGCTGCATTCCTTAAAGCATACGGTGGCTATTATAGAAGTAGTCTTACAGTTTTAGGAGACAGTAAAAATATTGAACAAGATTTGATGAAGATTCTCCCTATATCAGGTTGCCTTTGAACCTGTGTAGATGCTTAGAGTTGGTGGAGATCACCCACTCCGAATTGTCTTATCTTACCTGATACCTTGTCAGTGCTTGGTGACTTTAATAGGTCATTTACATTAGCTAAATTTTAACATTTTACAATAAATTCCATGTGTAAAGAATTCAAGGTTGAATAAAATTAAATTATATGGCCAGAAATATTTTTCTTAAATTGTATTTATTCACATTAATTTAAATATAGTTTTATATTTTGAGATATTGAATGGTGGTTTACACAATACTTATTTTGTTTTATCTTTAATTTTCAGAAACAAGTAGAAAGACAAATGATCCAGAACAAAAAGAAAAAGGTGAGATTATCAAATAAACAGCCTTTAACATAGGGGAAAGTTGTCATACCATCCAAGAGTAGCATAGTGATTTTATTTTATATCACTAGTTAACTTACCAGTGGATTTCTTAGTTCACTGATTTTATCAAGGAACATTTATTAATATTCTATCTAATAAACATTAAGAGCTAAGTCTCTGGAGAGAAATTGTCTGAATCTCCCACTGGTTGAAGATTCTGTAAAGATACTTTTTTTTTTTTATTGTAGTTTAGATGAAGGTTTATAGAACAAACTAACTTCTCATTAAACAGTTAGTACACATATTGTTTTATGACATTGGTTACCAACCCCATGACATGTCAACACTCTCCCTTCTTGACCTTGGCTTCCCTATTACCAGCTTTCCTGCCTCCTCCTGCCTTCTTGTCCTTGCCCCTGGGCTGGTGTGCCCCTTTAGTCTTGTTTCGTTTTATGGACCTATCTGATCTTTGGATGAAGATATGAACCTCAGGAATGACTTCATTACTGAGCTAAAAGGGTGTCCAGGGGCCATACTCTCGGAGTTTCTCCGGTGTCTGTCAGGCCAGTAAGTCTGGTCTTTTTTGTGAGTTAGAACATTGTTCTACATTTTTCTCCAGCTCTATCCAGGACCCTCTGTTGTGATCCCTGTCAGAGTAGTCAGTGGTGGTAGTCAGGCACCATCTAGTTGTACTGGACTCAGTTTGGTGGAGGCCGTGGTAGTTGTGGTCCATTAGTCCTTTGGACTAATCTTTCCCTCATATCTTTGGTTTTCTTCATTCTCCCTTGCTTCTGAAGGGGTGAGACCAGTGGAGTATCTTAGGTGGCCACTCACAGGCTTTTATGACCCCAGATGCTACTCACCAAAGTAGAATGTAGAACAATTTCTTTATAAACTATATTATGTCAACTGAGTTAGATGTTCCCTGAGACCATGATCCCCACAGCCTTCAGCCCAGCAATTCAGTCCCTCAGGGAGTTTGGATGTGTCTATGGAGCTTCCATGACCTTGCCTTATACATGTTGTAAAAATACATTTTTGTCTGTTTTGCTCATTATTGCATCGTCTATGCCTAGAACCATGCCTAGCACA